GCAAGATTATGCAGTTGGGACACCGACTTTTTGAGGAAAGGGACTGCCTGACGAGTGCATCAGCAGAGCTGTTATTGACGATCTGGAACGGACCCTTGAGCAGTGGCAGTGGGCTCACAGAGGATTACTGATATTTTGAAATTAGACATTATCTTTTTAGTTTGTAATATTTGACATTATTGTTCTTAGTTTTTAAAATTCAATATTATCATTTTTATTTTGTAATATTTGAAATTATTGTTGTTAGTTTTTAAAATGAAACATTATCTTTTAAAAATGAACACATAGAAATGACATAGTATTGACAATACAAGGCCTCATAGTAAAAGGTAGGTGTACATCAACAAAAACTACATGGCAATTAAATTGTTCCACTGTTGCACCGCGAGCATGGTACAAAGCATCCCAACCCTCCACGCTTGCTCTACGAATTCTCATACCACTTCGGTATGATATTTGGGTCCGGAAAATCGGGTGACATGTCTAATCGGATAAAATGTCTGTATGACGGCCCAAGAAATCCAATAACAACGTCCCTTACCGGTCTGGTGACGGTCTCGCGCGAACACCAGGCAGAAACCGTTGTACATGATAATAGGCTCGACTATGTAAACCAAGGCCGAAATGCATGACTGCACACTTGTAGATGTTTGCAACGGCAAAGAGATCAAGTGGCGCATCGAACCAATGATTTTGACCGCAAGGTCCCCCTCCCCACCGGATACGCTGCAGAGACCTATCCAAGTCCTCGCCGTACACATGGCCATACACATCTCGGTTTGATGCGATTTCACTGTACATCAACTGCCGCACTAAACCGTAAGTTGTCTTCACCCATTTGAAACACATCCGCCACAACCCGAAATCCGCAGTTACCATCTGCAATGACATCATTCCACCCGTCCAAGAATGGCATCATGATATTAGGGATCCTGTCCTTATATGGAAAATGTTCAATGTCCATTCTCCCTGTTACACACATCAATAAACACAATAAACAAGTCAACAGTAAACTAATCAAACAGTCAACAAAAGAAAGGCAAGTCGAATGTCTTACCGGTGCCGGGCATATTCACCGACGACGATGATTGGCTGCCACTTGATGAGGATGTACGACCACGGCCACGCCACGGCCACGACCGCGAATGTACTCAAACGCACTCCTGTTCCGCCGTGGTTGTCGACCCCTAGGTCGCTCGACCCCTTCCGGTTCCTCGGTATCCAAACACGATGTATTGAACATGTCATGAAGTATGTGTGTAGCACTACGAATGATCGAAGGTGACTGGAGGACACTTGGTCAAACATCATCTGAAACTGCTCCAACTCCTCCTGTTCACGGTGAACCGTATGCGGAACAGCATGCTCTCGATAACGAGCGTCCGCCAGAATGGATGAACCTGATCGACATGTAACGACGCCCTGTCTTGCGTAATTACGCGGTGAATGGTGCATGCACAAGGTAATCCATGAGTCATTGATATAGCACATCCGCACCGAATAGCCACTTCATCGCCCAACTCCCTCATCCTGGTATACTCGCTCAGAATCAACCCCAAACAGTGGTGTGACACACGACCGTGGAGAATCTTAAATATGAAATGGCCATACAACATGCCATGTCGTCGTCTGGAGTCCTCGAGATAGTTCTTGATGCCGTTCCTCTGAGTATCAATAGTCTTGTTTATTCTCTCGAACAGTGTATCCAGAGCAGCCGTGAAGAATCAATCCAGTCCTTCAAAGCTCTATGAGCGCTCTCGACTCTGCATGTCGTAGTGTTCCCAAAATGAAGAACTTGGTTCGTCCAATATTTGACAAAACTTTTCCCTCTGAGGTACCCACTATGCATCACATAGTCTACGATTGGCGGGCACCACTTGTACGCATCCTTTAAGTTTTCCAAGGCTCGATCGTACTCTGCCTCCGTGGTAGCTTGCAGGATCTTCCGCCACTTACCATTTACCAATCTCTCTGCTGAATCTAAGTTCTTGTTGAAAAGGTTGTAGGCTTTGACTTTCACGCAGTTGTTGATGTGCCATGTGCACAGTAAATGGCTCGACTCCGGAAACAGCTCCGCTATAGGGGCAAAAAGACCTCCCTCACAATCACTTACGATGGCGATGGCTGTACATTTGGGCCGATGTAGTTTCTCAACTTTTCCAACACCCAACGGTAACTCGCAGCCGTCTCATCCTTCATGACTGCATAACCAATCAGAAAGTTCTGGTTCGTTGGAGCCATCCCAACCATCTCAACCAGTGGGAACTTGTACTTGTTTGTCTTGTACGTTGAATCGATCAAAATCACAGATGGCCAAGACGAAATCATATCAGCACAATCAGGATGGACAAGGAACAAATGAGTTACCTCCGATGTGTCTTCGTCAGATTCAAACCAGTAAAGGTAACCACGTGCTTGTGCCTGGTGCAGAAGCTGCTGTATAGGGTTCCTTCCCTCTGACCGTTCAAAACCTCAATTTCTGTCTGACGTTGTAGATGTGTCTTCGGTTTGGCTGGTCTTCGGGAATTTCTCTAACACAGACGCTAATATTTTAGCGGGCTTCACTTGAGCATCACTCATTTCTTTTACAACTAGTTTCGCAGCTGGACTTAGGCCGCTTAACTGCCGATGCCCCACTTTGTATGCTATCAGCTCATGGTTGTGATATCCCCATTTGTCGTAACCCTTCACTTCCCAACCGTCACGCCTTTGATGTTGTCGAACCTTAACTCGGAACTGACACCCACAACCTTTCCGCTTTGAGTCAAACCGAATCGCTTTACTGAAATCTCGTTCTTCTCTTTTGCGATAACGGTCGCATCTCAAAATGCGATCCATTCTACCATCCCGTTGAGATTTATGAGTTGCTACTACTAAACAAAAGCCTGATCTAATTGCAACCTGTTTTGCCCAATCAATCGCTTGTTGAGCATCTTCGAACAGGCCATCATGTACAAAAATCCCACTGTAATCATTTCCGTCTCCACCATAATCCTGTAACAATAACATATAACGTATAAATATAATTACATTAAGATTAAATTAACAAAAACAAACAAAAAAAAAAAAGGGGATTAAATTAAAAAATAAAATAAAAAAAAAAAAAAAAAAAAAATTATTCCCCTACTGGCGCCTGGCCAGGACGCCGGAGCCACGGCCGGGCGCCTGGTCAGGACGCCGCCGCCATGGTGGCGGCGTGGTGGCCAGGCGCCTTGGCCGTGGCTGCGGCGTCCTGGCCACGCGCCACTACTATGGTCGAGGCTTCTCAACCAGGCGCCGTGACCACGGTGGCGGCGTCCTGGCTAGGCGCCACAACCACGGCATGGCCTTTTGGCTAGGCGCCAGCCACCATTTCGTCCTTACGATGCGTTACGAACCTCGTTTTCCGATGACGACGGCGATTCTCCGGTGATCCTCGGCGATCCGGTGCTGCTCCACATTTTTTTAGTGCGAAAAATTTATCTTCCGTTAAAATTATAAAAAGGGCAAATTTGTCAAAAAATTATAAAATGTGGGCTTTATGTAGAGATTTGCGGGCGATGAATAACAAGTCCCAATAATTAACATGAATATGTAATTTAATTTGAAGTTTTTTCTCAATTTTGAGAGGAGAACAATATAGGGGAATGAGAAATCGAAAGCGAAAGAAAGAAAAGAAGGAAATAGGGTAAGAAGGTAGTTAGTGGGCTCCACATGACATCACACTTCAGTTTGGAGCCAATTAGGTGGGAAGTTTTGATATTTTAAAAAATAGTAGGTGGTAAAATTCAAAAAAAAAAAAAAAAAAAAAAAAACTGTAGGTGGTAATTCCTAAACCAGCAACTATTGTAGGTGGTAAGTGGTAAAAATTCTAAGACGTACGACGTTTTGTTTTGAAGGCTATAAAAAGAGATTCAAATTAGCACCAAAAGAAAACAAATTAAAAGACACATATCATATAATCAAATAAAGATGAATACAAAGAAATGTATTGAGGTTCTCTTGCTGCTTACTATGGCCATCATTTTTATGATGGCCTATGGTGCGGCTGCCCAGAGCGTACCATTGTCGTGCTCAGCAGCCGGAGAAGCTTGTGATGTTCTACCAAATAATTAGTGTTGTTCCGGCTCAACCTGCAACCGCTACTTTAGCGGTACATGTGTGTCGTCGTAGATCAACCTGCTGGATACTGCACCACCAAGCTTGCGATCATACATGCATGTAGCCCTGCATGCTGAGTTTGTCTATTAAAATAAATAAGCTACTTTTGTAGCCCTACTTTATCATAAAAGAAGATCTTGTATGTAGTTTTGAACCATTAAAAACGTTTATGAATTAATAGTACAAGCACGATTACGAGCATCTTCTAATGGAATAAAATATATGAATTAGAAGCCTTATCTTCTCGACAACTAATTGATCATCATGATTTTATACTAGAATCATAAGTATATATATACTCCCTCCAATCCGTTTTATAATAATCGTAACACTTTAACTAACACACATGTCAATTCATAACTTTGACCGTTAATATTTGAAATTATATATTAATAGAAGGCTAATATAATGAAAAATATATAGAATGACTAATCCAAAAATATATTACATAACAACATAGGTTTTTTATATATTGGTAAAAAGAATAATAAAAATAAGCACATGAATAGTGCAAAAGCCAAATTTTGATTATTACAAAACGAAGGCAGTATATACTTTAATACATGGATTAATAAGCACTTAATTACTTATATTTTTTAAAATCAATTATATTACGTAGTATTTGCTTATACTTATCGAAGTAAATCAACTAATATATACAAGACAGATTAAATATTATTATAAAATAAATTTTGTTTTTCAATAATTTTATTATTGTCTTTGTTTTCAATATATATCATTGTACATTACAACATATTTGTCAATCATTAATAACTACTGGTTGAACATACTTGAATCACATCAACAATGAACGTATATGATTTTTCTTACAAAAATAACCTCCAAAAAGACGAGGAAAATTATTCAAAATCATACAATTCATAAGCTAAGCTAAATATATAGATTCATAGGTTAGATGAAAAGCTAATACAACTAAATAAATAGCTAGATTAAAACAAATTAAAAAATAACAAAAATATGAACTTTTCTATCCAACAATTGTTCAATGTAAAAACCTAAGTCATTGTCCGAGCCACACACTAGTTCCATGTATCCAACAATTATTCAAAGTAAAACCTAAGCCACTCCCCGGGCCACGCACTAGTTCTATGTATATGTATTAAAAGCAATTACATGACAAAAATGCTCTGCCCCTTGTACCCACCAGGATATATAAATAGTGGTCCAAACACACTCAATTGCGCGATAAATCCACAAGTTACTCCATCTCTCCGAAACTTCACTTTCTTGTCAGTTTTTTTTTTTTCTTTTTTTTGACAGAATTACTGTCTTGTCTGTTCAGAACATGGCCAGCAGCAGAACTAATTACTGAGGTACTGTGCAAAGTAAGCCATGGCCAGGATTATGCTCAACAGGATACAGTGTTGCGCCTTTGACATATTTTTGGTGCTCAAGAGCTGCCTTCCGGAGGGTTGCTTTAGGCCTCCGATCGATTTGCTGCTTCTTTATTATGGAACATTGACTTAGTGGATCGGTCGAGCCAGCTCCAACTCTCCTGTAAAGTATTGAAACTGTTATGTGGGAGAAAACTTCTCAATATAAGCATCAAGTAACATAAGCATATCCATATGCTTCATTTACTCTAAAATTAATTTCAAGGGTGACATCAAATAATACGCAGATATACCCAAGGAACAAGCTTACATCTAAATCTTCGTGCAGAAAAGAAGAGGCAAATTCCTTCAAGATTACTTACGCCAATATCTTCTCAGATGCAATCCTTGCAGCAGCAATAATGCTAGAGCTGGGAAGCCACTTCACAACACGATTTGGGTCAGAACGCATGGGAGAATGAATTTTGATCAGCTACAAAATGAAAAAACAAAAATGTCAAGGATTGTTCTTTTTCTTATAGTCGACAAAAGAAAGTCATTTCTTATTATCTTAGCTGGCCTAAATTACAAATACTAGCCAAACAAAGATGCAGTGTTTGAATAGCATAGTTCACATTTCAATAGCTGAGAAAATATAGCACAATTGTATTTTCCACATGACAAAAAGGCTTGTCATCAGATTGGATGTAAACAATATAATTTAGGTAACTTTCATGTTAAGGGAGATAAAAGTGGCTAATGCTCTGTTGTCTGATAGATACAGTCTTTAGAATGAAAGAAAGCAAATGAAACGCAGAAAAAAATAAATAAATAAATTGCACGTGACACTCACACCCAAGCACTCCATCATCTGGTAGTACGCTCGACCATGTAAAGGAGTATGACCTCCACGGGATTCAGAAAAATACCTAGTCCTGAGATTGTCAACAGTTGTCAATCAGAACAAGAGCTAATACACTTTCATTACTGATTTATGGAGCAAAATGGAAGCTCATAATCATGACAGCATTATTCAGTATTACCATTCTTCATAACCCGGATCAACAGTGAAGCCATAGATATCCACTGTGTCACATATAGAAAGTGCAAACTCCAGCGCTTTAAGTCCCGTTCCTTTAGCAGATGAACCAAAGGATGTACCTAACATGAGATATACAGGATTGAGAATAGGAATTTCCTGCAAAAGGCAGGTAAAACAAATTTAGTACAATAAAGTAGGTGTAGATAGCTCAGGGACAGCAAGAACACACTACCAGTGATAGTTGATCAAGGAAACGGAAAAATCGCAGATATCATGAGCATTTTTAAATCAATTTGAGTTTGTTATAAACAGTCCTGCTACTATTATTATAAAACACACCCCCTTTTACTTGTCCAAATTCACAATTTCCAAAAATAAAAATGAAGGGAAAAGCCAGAGAGTATACATTTCCCAAGTATGTATAATTAGACTGAAAGAGATGGATGTTGGCTCAAATTACAACTGACTAAAGGAAAAAGCACTGCTCTTAAACCAAGGGGAAAATAAAAGAAATAAGGGAATGAATACAAACCCGGATCATTTTGCTCATTATGTCATGAATAGTTGTTTTAACTATCAAGGCCTCCTTTCCAGCATCTGCAAGATGATCTTATCAGATACTCTAAAGCATATTGATTAAACTTCAAAGAAGTCAAGTAAAGTTTGTACCATACAGCTCAGCAACTTTATCTAGAGCTTTTGCAGACCCTCTATTCAGAAGACGGAATGTACTCTTTGAGCCTACATATTCAGAATAGTTCTGTTGCATATCCAAGAAACCAATAATTAGAAGTGAATCATTGCATATCAAGTACATTTTATAGAAGCTTTAAGACCTGAATAGGTGCACCATTCTGTCGGAAAACAGCATCAAAAGAGTCTATCTCTTGGCCAAACTTGGTTTTCAGAAGATCTGCAGAATTCCCTACCACAGCACAATGGTGAAACTGCTTCGGATAATAAGGAGGTGTAAGAGGAAGAACCAGAGAGAGTTTCTCCATGCAAAGGGCCTTGTTTAGGCAATTATTTCTGCAACTCAAAAAAATTCATGTTGGACTGGCGGTTTTACAGAGAGGCTACCAGGCAATTCAGGTATTACATGACACAAATTGAGTAAAACGAACATTTGATATATTCCCTTCTCCTGTCCTGAACCCCCCAAACCCCCCCCCCCCCCCCCCCCACGATAGGCAGATCTGTCTTGCTTATACTCCATTCAAGAGACAATGTCCATACTTGAGACATTAGCAATTAATCAGTAAAAGTTTGTTTAGATAAAGAATGGGCAAGGTAAAGAAGGCGAGGAAGGGAGGAGAAGAATGATGAGTTTCCTTCCTAATCTCTCCATTGTTAGAGAAATCAATTTCTTACAATTTAATTCCTCTACTTTTCTCCCCTCCAATTCGCTTCCTTCCTCATTTGTTATACAAATGAAAGATACTCCATCCCTCCTCTAATTCCCTTCCTTTCCCTCCATTTCCTTCAATCCAAACAAAGGGTAAGGCAATATATCTTCTGTGATATACTTAGCAATAATAAGTACATCAAGATGGCATCTCTTATTATGCGTAAGAAAAACTTACAGCTGGATTCCCTTGTTGATCCTTTTCCATGCATAATCCTCCCAGCCATTAGGCAGAGCATCAATATACTCCTTTGTCAAGACTGTTGTACTATTTCTAACCTGAGAAATTCAGCTCACTAAATAACAGATCAATCAAGAGCATCGCATTAAATCATGACTGAAAGTTCTCAACAAAACGATCAATAAAATGATTCATAAACAAGATTGTGAACATTTTTTTTTTTTCTTTTTTCCCTTTCTTTCTCCTCCGTGTAACAGGGAAACAATATAATATTGAAGATTTTGAATGACAACTTCTAACTCAAAATTGTGCATAAAACTCTTCTTTACCTCCTTACTGTTTAAAGAATAAATGATACATGAAAAAGTCAGCTAACCTGTTCCCAGGTCGCCACAGCTTCACAAAGATTGAATTCATGGGACAAGCCTTCAGCCTCTCCTGTTTTAGGGTCATTCTGTACAAAATTATAGGCATCTTAGCAGCAAGTCTTAGAACAGAATTATAACATGGGGAAGATGATGTTGACATAAAACCAATTTTCAGCCCTATAAAGCAACTAAATAGAATTACCCATTTGGAGACAGTTTCATCAGGAAATTTCATTGTAACTTTGCAATTATATTTTTCAAACACAGCTCTCAAACCCAAGCCATTTGCACTCTGCAGCAATAAAGATCAGACACAAAATTTATTATGAGAAATTAACAATTGAAGGCATCAATTCTTTAGAGTCTTAAACATAGCAAAGTAGGCCATGGTGGTCCATTTGAACAAGGTTTATTTTCATTAAGACAACTTGGAAGTGCTTTACATGTGCAGGAATTCAACCTTAAGGGTCTACAAAAAACATTAACCCCATCTTTCAGTCAACAAGACAAACTCGCATAGAAGAATAGTGTACCACACAAAAGAAAAGTTGTATAAAGTTTGTGTTATAACGGATGCAAGAAAGAAAAGCGAAATCAACAAGAAATTCACACATTTACTTGGCTCACCATGGGGAGGGGGGGAAGCAAAAAATTTGGGTACCCTGAATCAGAACCGAAACCTAATCAGGTTTTGGTTCCGAAAGCAAGTTTTGGTTTCGAGTAATTAAATTGCTCACTTGTTGCAACAGGTTTCGGTTTCGGTTCTGATTCTGGTTCGGTACGCGGTTAATATAGGTTCCGGTTCCCAATTAAGCTCAATTAATAAAAGCCCAATATATATATATATATATATATATACTTCCTCCACCTTTTTTTTTTACTTGCAACAATTTACTCTATCCGTGTTTTTTAAGTATTACACTTTAACCAAACACGCATGTTAAGACACAACTTTGCCATTAAAATATCTAATTACATGTTAATAAAACCATAAAAAATAAAAAAATAAAAATAAAAATAAACAAAAAAAAAATTGATATTACGAAATTATACATTATGACGAATCTAACAATATATTATACAATAACATTTGTTTTTTATACTCCCTCTGTATTTGATTACAAATCTAGAATAATCAACAAATTACACAGATTTAATCAACATAATCCGATCAATAAAATGATTGCCAAAGACTCTATATGAGATAGTTAGATTACAAGATTGTTCCCAAAACATAACAGACCTGAAGGGAAACTAATAGCTTCGAATAGTTAGCAGCAAATCCAAATAACGTTAGAAATTACTCCAGATTTGAACATTCATTAGATGTACCTCTAAGGTACCACATAGCTTGCCAATGCTCCTTCCTAGCGTATGGAAAGACAGACTTAGTGCAAAACATAGCATACGCAGAGCTACAAAACACCTTCCATCTTGATGTAATACACACAAAAATCAAACGGACTCTTGTTGTAGTTGAACTTCGTAAATAGTTGCTCAAGCTCCAAAGTCTGATGTACAGCTATTACTACTCGCACCATGACGGAAGTATGTCTGGCTACCTGCGATATAATCTCCTTGTAGTCAATTCCCTTTTCTAAAGAAACCCTCTTGCAATTACCCTAACTCTATACTTGGTTATATCCTTCCCTTTGAAAACTCATCTACAAGTGATGATCTTTTTCTCCAAAGGCCTTAAAACAAGTTCCCAAGTCATATTCCTATGAAAAGACTCCATATCATCTCCCATTGCGGCAAGCCATTGAGCATATAGTACATAAAACAACTTCCTTGGACAACTAAGAAATATCCACCTCTTCATCAATACATAGTGCAAAAGCCACTATGTCTTCACGACCATACCTTTGGGAAGGCTTCCTAAAATTTGTCCTCATATGCCGACCAAGAGTCAAACTAGGCTCAACGGCGAAGACTTTGATACTTCAAATTTCAAGAATGAGTGTTTACTCTCAAGAATGTGGTTCATAACTCGATGTGAGAATGAGTGACTAGTTGCTCCACAAGACTTGCGATATGATAACAGCAATGTATAAAAAGGCACACCAAGGCGTTTATGAGTTCCTTGCACCTAGGCTGCGCCATATATAAGTGAGGCGCATATAATAAACAATAAAATATTTTTGAAACAAATCTTTGGGCGCCCCAGTACGCCTTAAGCTGCGCCTGTGTGTACCTTAGCTGCACCTCATCGAAATCGCCTCGCCTGGACCATAAAAAGCCCATGACCCGTGACACCTCTAGGCGTGCATTTTCAAACACTAGACAATTGTAGACCCAAAACTTAGACCTTTGCAACACATAAAGGTCTCTTGTTAACACTTTTCAGCAATAGCAGACATACAACACTACACGTTCACCTCTTAAGCTGAATCCCTTATTGTCTTATAGACTGCTTCATCATGAGTTAAACAAACCTAACACCTATGTTACACCTTACACGGACTTTTCATTTTTGTTAGGCCCTCGACACTCGCATATGGGTAGGACACTTAGACACTTCATTTTAGTTCGAAATCATAAAATGTCTTCACAAAATAGTTGAGTCGGACACTTAGACACGTATGCGTATAAGACACCCGGTTGTACATAGAGTATCACGACATGACATCCAAATATATAGTGGTCTTATATGAAATTTTATAAAATCGGGAGTTCGAAGGATCTGACACCATATCAGACACGACACCCAAATCCAAGTCTGTGCAACATAGATATTCTTAAGGAAATACATATTAAATAACTGATCCAGAACGCTCAATAGATTAAAAAGAATGATCAACAGATCGGAATGATCAACCGATCAGAATGATCAACACACAGATGATCTGTTGTATATTTGGAGTAACACTCGAAATACACAAGGGATAAACCAAGGGATAGATAAGGCTAAAGAACCAAAGGCTTCTTAGATAAAGTCACACCACTAAGAAACGTTTGGATTCCTAAGATCACAAGCCAACTAGTAGCCTAAACTAGCTAACTAAGCAAAGGAACGAAATCCTAAATCCAAGAATTTCAGGTTTGTTTCTAATCCAAGAAACGAATGTAAAGACAAAGTTGTTTGTTCGAAATAATCTGATTTTTCATTCACATTTGCTTGCTATTTATAGTGAGCAAACATCTTAAGTACAAGCTGAATTAAGTGGCTTTTAGCTCACTTGTTACACGTCCAAACTAAGTACATATCAGTTTTTGTAGCCTAGATACATTAATAAAAGAAGCCTTACTTAACTAGATACATCAAGAGCAAATGGCGGTTTGTAACCTCCAAGTTATGAGTGAAATAAAATCAGAAACAAGAGAGTATAACACCCCCTTGATTCACGCCCACAAAGCAGCAGCTTGGAGATGAAACAGCTCCCCTTTTCACGCCCAATTCAAACAGCAAGTGAAGTGTAACTCCTCCTTGTTTCAAGCCTTGAAATTAGCTTGAATGTATGTGGACAAGGGTATACTTGGACGCCCTTTAGTTGCTCCAAAAGCTGACTGAATTAAACAGCCAATTGAAGGCTGAAATTAAGGCTTAAGATGCTCCAATGTTGACTGATATCAACGGCCACTTGAAGGCTGAAGTTAAGGCTTGTAATTCCTCTTTGAAAAACTGATTGTAACTCCCAAGTCAAAGCTTTGAAATTCCTTGTAAAAGAATTTCGGATTCCAAGCTTAAATGGCTGCCATTTTGATGTATCTTTGCACTTGTACTTTTGTGTGAATGTGACAATATTTTTCGAACTAAAATCAGCTAAAAAGAACTAAGAAAAAATATAACTAATTTGCAAACATAAAATGACTAAAGTTTACAATTTATTCAAAGCATAAAAAGAACTAGAATAAACTAGTTAATAAGAACAACAAGAAATTCAAGGGGTTGAATATCTTGCTGCCGAAGGATAGAATGCATAGCACCAATACATGATGCTACGTCTTGAACCAAAGAAATGTCCATAACCAAGTTGTATATTTGGGGGTGGGATGTCGGCCATGGTTTGTGTTTTGAATAAATTGTAAACTTTAGTCTTTTTTTGGGGAAATGAGGTTTGAGATGCAAAACGTGATGATTCACTTTTGCCTCTTGCTTTTTGTTGCTAACTTGTTTTTCAATGAGATTGTTCGTTTACATGGTGTACCTAAATCCATGGTGAGTGATCGTGATCCGAAATTTCTAAGTCATTTTTGGCTTACATTATGGAGGAAGATGGGCACGAAATTGAACTTTAGCACTTCAAGTCATCCTCAAACAGATGGTCAAACCGAAGTGACTAATAGAACTTTGGGATCCTTGCTGCGGTCTTTGGCTACTAAACGTCCCAAGCAATGGGAAGAGATGCTTTACTATGATGAGTTTGAAGAGTTGCCGAGTTTGAGGGCAAACTCTTTTCAAGAAGGGGGGAATGTTGTAGCCAAGCCTAACAACTTGGTTATGGACATTTCTTTGGTTCAAGACGTAGCATCATGTATTGGTGCTATGCATTCTATCCTTGGGCAGCAAGATATTCAACCCCTTGAATTTCTTGTTGTTCTTATTAACTAGTTTATTCTAGTTCATTTTATGCTTTGAATAAATTGTAAACTTTAGTCTTATTTTAAGTTTGCAAATTAGCTATATTTTTCTTAGTTATTTTTAGCTGATTTTAGTTCGAAAATTATTGTCACATTCACACAAAAGTACAAGTGCAAAAATACATCAAAATGGCAGCCATTTAAGCTTGGAATCCGAAATTCTTTTACAAGGAATTTCAAAGCTTTAACTTGGGTGTTACAATCAGCATCAATAAGGAGTTACAAGCTTTCAATTGAGTCTTCAAGTGGCCGTCTTCAAGTGGCCGTTTACTTCAGCCAGCAACTGGTACATTCAAGAGGCGTCCAAGTACATCCTTGACCACATACATTCAAGCTTAATTCAAGGCTTGAAACAAGGAGGAGTTACACTTCACTTGCTGCTTGAATTGGGCGTGAAAAGGGGAGCTGTTACACCTCCAAGTTGCTGCTTGTTGGGCGTGAATCAAGGGGGAGTTATACTCTCTTATTTCAGATTTTATTTGGAGGTTACAAACCACCATTTTCTCTTTGATGTATCTAGTTAAGTAAGGCTTCTTTTATTAATGTATCTAGACAACAAAAGCTGAATTGTACTTAGCTTTAGGCGTGTAACAAGTGAGCTGAAAAGTCACTTAAGTTAGCTTGTACTTAAGGATGCTTGTTCACTATAAATAGCAAGCAAATGTGAATGGAAAAATCAGATTATTGCAAACAAAAAAAAGACTTGTCTTACATTCGTTTCTTGGATTAGAA